AAAATCATCCCACCCTAACATTTTATGCATCTCTGAACACGTATCTGTGTATAATTACATAATAATTTATATACATGTATAATAATTGCATAATAATTTCTCTTCTCTGTTGGGAAATTTCTGTAGCACCAGCCTGATCCTTAACCGAAGGTTTGTCCTTCACTCACTTTAAAAGCTTTCCAAGCTTTTTCCAATTATGTTTCCACATCTGCAAGGCAGCTATATGGAAATCTTGTACTCCAATTGCCTTCTTAATCATTCTTAAGAGTTTTAATTTTGTGGCTGAAATCAGTCACAGGTTTTCTCTGGAGAATATTTTAGATGAAAGCTGATGTTTCCTTATTTTACATATTTTACAAAGAAAACCACAGAATCCTAGCTTTCTCTTACATGGAAAACCAGGTTTCTACCCAGCTTCTCCCTATCCTCTTCAGAGGACACAACCAGGGTTGTAGAGGAAAGTTTGCAGTGTATCAAGAAGGGTTTGTGCTCTTTATTCTTACAGAATTATAGATCTACAAGCTTCCTCTTTCAACACTTCCCATTTGGCTTTCTATCATACTGCCTTTTCATTTGCACAACAGTAGTTCCTTATGTTTCAGTGGCTTCAAGGTGAATTTATTCAGGTCTGGCTTGGAAAATGTGTGTGACTCAAATTCCTCCCCTCGTGAATCCCTACAACTTGTGGAAACACTTTGGACTTGGAGCATATAAATTACCTTATTCTCTCATATGTGTGAAAAATTTACCCATTAAAACTTCTAAAGTTTAACAGTGCTGTCAAGCGTTCACAGATTTCTCGGTGTTAATGGAAAAACTAGCGTTGAAATGAATAATGTTTTATGAAAATTAAATGCTCAGAGTGTAGACAATGTAATTTCTTACTGATGGAGCAACACAACTGAGTGAATCACCAGAGGTAAAGATCTAATGTCCTTTGCCTTGTGACTTTTGGAGTGTTACATAAAGGACTGTAACTAGTCTGAGGTAATGCAAACTATCCCTCCAAAAATACATCTTTTTGGCCTATTTACTAATGGCAGCTTCAGGTTTGGGGACGTTGCAGCAAGATGCAACTTTTCAAGTAAGTTCTGCAGCTTCTCTGAGTTTTTGTCTTCCTTTTCTGACTTTTACTTGTAAGTTCAGGGTTGGCTTGGCCCTGAATAAAAGCAAAAGATCAACACAAAGATCTCTCTCTTTTTTTTTTTTTTTTAACATATTCTAGAGATGGAATAAGTGGTGGTTTGGCTTTGCACGAACCCTCTGTAGTTCAGATAATATTTCTTCTTTCCCTTTCCTTCTCCTGTTTCTTAGTTTTGCCCAGGCCATGGATTCTGCTCTGTACCTCAGTAGTTGGCAGCAGTTTAAAGATAATTTGAGATGCATCTCTATGGTGAGCATGTTGCAGAGAACTTTGGTAAAAGACTGATTGTTCAGACTGGTAAACTGAGCTCAGGAAACAGTCAAATTGCACTCAAACAGCTTTTTTTTTTTTTTTTTCATTCATTTTTTGCAGAGAACTTTGGTAAAAGACTGATTGTTCAGACTGGTAAACTGAGCTCGGGAAACAGTCAAATTGCACTCAAACGGCTTTTTTTTTTTTTTTTTTCATTCATTTTTTTTGCCTTTTTTTTTCTTAAGGGATTCAGGCTACTGAAGTGAGAAAATGCACAAGCTGTAACAAGAAATTCACAAAGATATATGGATAAATCTGCCAGTGAGAGACTCGGCATGACTTTTCAGAAAGGAAATCCTGAACTATCTATAAACTCCTTCAGAGGAAGCAAAGGTCCAAGGAATATAATCCAATTGGATTTCCAAAGCATTTGACAAAGTGCCTTAGCAAAGGCTCATAGAAAAGAAAGGTGCTTTTATGGTTGCTCTCTTTAATTGGGTAAGAGATAAGAAACAGATGAGAGAGCCTGTAATTGAGAGAAGGGGAAATTGCTGCAAACAGAAAGAAAAGACAAAGTTTGCTGATGAGATTTAAAGCCTTCAGGACAAGGGTGTTAAAACCAAACTGGGGCCATCTGCAGCAGGACCTTATGGAACTGAATATACAGTTGTAAAAACAACATATAATAATGTCTGTGAGTATAAAGTTATGCACATAACCAAAAAAAAAGCTAAATTTATATAAATGGATGGGTTATGAATGAAGTGTTGCCTTTCAGCAGAGAAATCTTTGAATGAAGTAGTTCAGAAATAGATTGGTTCACTTTAGTGCTCTTGAACAGTCCAAACAGGAAACAGAACTATAATGAAAAGAAATAGAGGAGGAAAAAAAGGCAAATTAAAATTTAAATATGCTAATCTGCTTTTTGAGAGTGTTGTGTAGCTCATGTCCCCATCCTAAATCAAGGATGATCAAGGTTGTTGAACTGTTTTATAGTAAACAAAAAAGATTAGAGCTCCTCAGCTGGAGAAAGGAGGTGGCTGACAGAGGATTTGACAATTGCCTGTAAAATCACAAGTTCCATGCAGGGGGTAAAGTGCTCTTCATTTGTGTTTACAGTCTCTCAGTATCAGAAAAAATGGAGAATGATGTGAAGTTTTCAAGTGACAAATTCAAAACAAAGCCAAATTGTGACATTTCCCACAGAACAGAGCTCAACTGTGGAGCTGATGAGCACAAGATCTGAAAGATATCAAATTTTATGTAGGTACAAGGAACAAATTAATAGAACAAAAAGCCATGAGGAGCTGTTAAGCTTAGAGAATTAATGTTTCAAGAAGTTGATGTGGCACAAATCCTTTGAGGGATAAGAGTGTTCTGTGTGCTTATTCTCTTCTTGAAACTCTTCTGCAGGCATTATTACAGTGACAGGATATTGAGTTAAGTGGCCTGACCCAGCCTGGCTGTTCTATGGTGTTTATTTATGTTCCTATGGCTTTTCTGTATGGTTGTAACCTGAAGATAACTCCTTGTGAATGGATTGAATTGCTCTTATCAGCACTGGGTATGCCCTGGTGATGAGTTGAACCTATCTAAAGCTTCTTTGCTGCTTTTTCTGCCTTCTGTTTTTTGTTCCCTCTTTCTCCTCTCCTAAATAGCTGCTGAAATATCACTGTTCATGTGATCTTGTGTTTTGGGTAGTGCTGCTCACCTGTGTTCTTTTGGAATCCAAAATGCTTGTAAATCCACTAAGCAGCACTTTTTTACCTGGCTGAAGAGCAGCAGGAACAAAACCCTGCTTCTGTAAGCAATCTCTGGCACTGTACAACAGAGAATAATTCATGTGCATTGTGCACAGCAGAACCTGGCACTTCTGACAGTCACACGGAGATGAAACAGCTTCCTACAACAACTCTGAAGGAGATCAGAAGGGAAAAACCTTTACGAAAACATGAGTAAAGGAAGAAAAGACTTAAACGTAAATGTTTATGTTGTTTAGGTTTCATCAGTTATGATGAAAGGAAGCACTTTGTGAACATTATAGCAGCATTTTCTCTGAAAAAATCGTGAGTTTTTAATTTTTTTTATTAGTTTCACAGGAACGCATAGAAGCAACCCAGTGGACAGGCTGCTATATTTATTGTCTTTGGGTGCTGGCCAGCTGCCTGCCAGGGACCAGAACGTGGAGGTGGCTCAGAGCTCTGCAGGGACATCCAGACCTTCAGCATGGCCTGGGGCACGGCTGGGCAGGGAAACAGCACACCTGGCAGCCCCAGTAACCCCAGGTACAGTGTGTGCTGGGTGAGCAGGGAAACACCTCTGTTAAACCCCACTAATCCCAGATATGCCCCTGTTTGGGTGAGCAGGGAAACACATCTGGCAGCCCCAGTAATGCCAGGTACAATAGGTGATGTGCCCCTGTGCTGGGTGGCAGTGCTGGGGTACAGGTGGGCAGGGAAGCACATCTGTCAGCCCCAGTAACCCCAGGTACAGTGGGTGCTGTGCCCCTGTGCTTGGGTGAGCAGGGAAACACATCTGGCAGCCCCAGTAATGCCAGGTACAATAGGTGATGTGCCCCTGTGCTGGGTGGCAGTGCTGGGGTACAGGTGAGCAGGGAAACTCATCTGTCAGCCCCACTAATCCCATATACAGTGGGTGCTGTGCCTCTGTGTTTGGGTGAGCAGGGAAACACGTCTGTCAATCCCACTAATCCAGGTACAGTGGGTGCTGTGCCCCTGTGTTTGGGTGAGCAGGGAAACTCATCTGTCAGCCCCACTAATCCAGGTGCAGTGGATGCCCTTGCTGGGTGGCAGTAGGTGAGCAGGGAAACAAATCTGTCAGCCCCACCAATCCCATATACAGTGGGTGCTGTGCCCCTGTGTTTGGGTGAGCAGGGAAACTACATCTGTCAGCCCTACCAATCCCATATCCAGTGGGTGCTGTGCCCCTGTGTTTGGGGGAGCAGGGAAACACATCTGTCAATCCCACTAATCCCATATACAGTGGGTGCTGTGCCCCTGTGTTTGGGGGAGCAGGGAAACACATCTGTCAATCCCACTAATCCCATATACAGTGGGTGCTGTGCCCCTGTGTTTGGGGGAGCAGGGAAACACATCTGTCAATCCCACTAATCCCATATACAGTGGGTGCTGTGCCCCTGTGTTTGGGGGAGCAGGGAAACACATCTGTCAATCCCACTAATCCCATATACAGTGGGTGCTGTGCCCCTGTGTTTGGGGGAGCAGGGAAACACATCTGTCAATCCCACTAATCCCATATACAGTGGGTGCTGTGCCGCTGTGCCCGGTGGCAGTGCTGGGGCACTCGGCACTGCCGTGTGCGAGGGAAAGCAGCGAAGAGCCGCTGGCGGGAGGGTAACCGCGAGGTGTTGATGTGTCAGCGTGTCGGACCCAGCGAGACAGAGGAAATGACTCAGAACACCCTGAGTTGCTTAGTGCCGGCCGAGGAGAACGTGGCTCAGTGTGAATTACGGCTCAAACCCTGCTCTGTCTCCGCCGCGCACGATGCGGGGCCATTTTAGGGCGGGGGTGCCCCGGCTGCAGCCGAGGCGCTTCCCGGGGGGCGGTGAGGATGCCGGGGGAAGGTGAGGATGCCGGGGCTCGGTGGATGCCGGGGGGGCGCTGAGGGTGCCGGGGAGCGGCGGGGCGGGGCGGCCCCGGCTGCTCGCCGAGCTCCCCGAGCGCCCGCCGAGCGCGCCGCCCTCGCCCGCTGATGCAATCCGAGCCCGGCAGCGGCGGCAGCAGCAGCAGCGATCCGAGCCTCAGCGGCACCGGCAGCAGCAGCGATCCGAGCCTCAGCAGCAGCAGCCCCGGCCGGCCCCGGTCCCGCGCAGCGCCGCTCTGTCGCCCCCCGGGCTCGGCGATCCCGCTCCATCCCGCCCGGAGCCCCGCAGGAACATCTCCGCCTCCCGCCAGCATGATCAAGGTAAGCGGAGCGGCTTTGCCGCCCGAATCCTGCCCGTCCATCCTTCCGGCGGCTTCTCCTCGGTAGCTCGCCGATTTGTGTTCGCAGATTTTAGTGCTCCGGTTTGTTTGTGCTTTGCGAAGGGGATTTCTGTCCCTGGTGGATTTGATGTTTGGGATTCAGAGGCGGATTGTGTGTGGTTTTACCTCTTTCGTTGCAGACAGCATGTGTGGAGAAGAAATAATGAGGGAGGATGGAGAAGGGGAAGGGAAGGTGTGTGATTTCCTTTGGGGCGAATTTCTTGTTTATGGGACTCTCAGTGAGTAAAAAACCTCAAACAAAACTGACAGAAAACCAGCAAACCAAAAGACTGCAAAGGTTACGGTCTCCCGGCAGACATCAAGCCTTTTTTTGCCTGTGAGTTGGTTAAAGCTCTTATGTCTGCCCTTGTACTAAAATAGACTATGGGTAAAATCCAGTAACACGTGCTGAGAGGTTCTGAGTAATTTCAGAAAAAACTTCGACTCATGGAAGAGGAGTTTTTGGTCGCAAGCACTGATGTGGCAGGCGAGCATCTGTGGGCACTGCCCTTTTATAAATGCCACGTTTGTGTTCTTCAGCTTAGTGACCTGATCTGGGGATTAAAAACAAGTCTTGCCGGTCAAGGCAAAGGGCACGGAGTTATCACGGGTGCCTTTCAGCTGGACCAGGGGAGCATCCCAGCCACAGCAGTGCCCGGGTTTGGGGCAGGGCTGGCTGGGAGCTGCACAGCTGCAGTGTGTGCCAGAGTTAACAGCTGAGGGAACCCACGGCTGAGGTGTTTGCTTTCCTTGGGTCGAGTTAGCAGATGGGTACAGGCACAGCAGTGTCTCCCCAGCTCCTCTGTGCTGCTGGTGGCCAGTGTTCCTCACATCCAGCGGTGGTGGCAGGGTTGGGATGGCATGGAGCAGCCTTGCCATGCTGTCCCAGCCCTGTTTGCCCTCCCTGCTGGAAAGGGGCAGACCACCATGGCAGGAAACTGGCATGAAACTGCTCAGGGAAAATAGCTAGGAGCTCCCCCAGCCACGATGCTCAGAGACAGAATGGAGCATCTCAAGGAAGGGGCAGACTCGTGTTTTGTATCGCTTCTGATGTACCTGTTGTGTGTCCAGGAAACAGGGCAGGGCTCTGCTTTCCAGGGTGTCCTCCAGCACCTGCCAGGAGTGCTCTGGTATGGCCTTAAAAACAGCCAGTAACAGGGAAACCATGAACCTACCAACCTGTGTGCTCAAAGCAGCACTGACCTCTCATTGGGCTCTTCTCACCTGCACAAACCCAACCTTCACCTGGTCTTTTTCCTGGTCTTTTTCCTGGTCTTTTTCCTGGTCTTTTTCCTGGTCTTTTTCCTGGTCTTTTTCCTGGTCTTTGCTGTAGCAATAGCTACAGCAGTAAAAGGACTCTCTGGCCCCTTGGAAGTGATGTAGCCTTGAGCAAGTCAGCGCTGTCTGAGCCCTTTACCCTTTATTTGCCTCATCTGTTCAGACTGTCAGCTCTCCAGGGCTCTGGCTGTCACTGTGTGTTTGTAGACCATTTCTCAAAGGAACAGAGAATTACAATTTGATTATCACCATACTTACGTAAAACCTGACACATGTATAAATAACCCAATCAACAGCATCATTCCACCTCCTTGTCCCTTCATCTCTCCCTTCATGATTTTCTGTGTTCAGTCACAACCCTCCATTTTTCCTTGAACTATTTCCAGCTCAACCACAGCCCTCCCTTTCTGTCCTGCTTAAAGTAATGTATAAGAAATGAATTTTGCCTCCAGTTTCTGCAGTCTCTGCCTTGTCCACCTAATGCACTGATTGTTACTGACAGGCCTGGCACTTGTGTGTGATCCAGTGGATATGCTGGTTTTTCCCCATGGAAACTGAGCATTGAAATATGCTGCAAAGCCATAGGTAAAAGGGAAGATTGCAAAGTCATGAGATAACAACTGATACCTTGTTAAAATAGTCCACAGGCTGTATCCTTTGTTTAATTAGACAGATGAAAATAATTCAGGTGGATTTCATTAGTCATTAATTTATCCCTGGGAGGATAATGGTAGGAAGGGAGGTAAATCAGTTAATTAACTGTGTAAACACTCAGGAGCTCTGCATTTATTCAGGCATTTTAAAACAAATTAGGAGACGTGGGCATGGTAAAGAATTGGAACAGACATTTTCATTGCTTCCCTGTGTTAATGCCATTTTCTCTTAAGTAAATAATCATAGCTGAATGTATAATGCTGAATGTATAATGCTGAAAATTTCCAGTGGTTTGAGGGCAGGACCTTCAGTGTCAGAAGGAAGGAGCCAAGCTGTAAATTCTCTCCGAAATTTGCACAATCAGCCTTCTCAGGGCACAGATGTGGGCGCTGGCACGTTCACATCCCCTCGGTGACACGCCACGTGCTTGGTGCTGCTGGGGAAGCTCCTCTCAGAGAGGCAGCTCTGAGCTCCGGGCACTCTGCGCTGATTGTGGCTTTTGATAATAAACTGTGGCTACCCACATGCAGCCATGGCTGCAGTGGAGAGATGAAATGGCCAAACTGCATCTTAAAGCCTGGCTTTAGGTGGTGGTTGAGCATAAATCCAAGTAGTCTGTGACCCTAACATGTCATGTTTGTAGTCACTTCTGTGTGGGCACCTCGATGCCTCCCATTCTAGCACAGGATGAAGTCAGTGGGTGGCCCCGTTTACCTTGGAAACAGCCTCATTATTTTATGGCTTTACGCATTAAAGGTCCAGGTAAAATTACATCATAAAACAGAGCACCTGTTGCAGAAGGGCAATTTAGGAAGTATTACCATATGCTGTGGCAGAGGAAAATCCAGTGTTGCACTTATGCAAATCACCCTTTGGTGTGTACATCAGAGGAACCAAAACTTAGCATGAGAATAGTTGAAACTGCCTTTAAAAATGATCAGTAAGTTTTATCCATCTGGGGTGTTTTTTGTGCATCTTGGCCCATGGTTTATTACTAGTTTTGCAAACTAATGTCATAATTCCATTCCAACTGAGTTACTCATTTACTTCTTCCCCTGAGGTCTGCGGTGTGTTTTGAGTTTTATTTTAGAATATACCTGAAGCATTAATGAAATGCAGCATATAACTTCTCAGCAGGTACACAGCTACTGCTAATTCAGTGTGCCTGTTAGAGCACATCACACACCATACTGATAAAAACATTTCTAGTAAGCACAGAAAAGTGTTTTCCTGGTATACAAATGGGGTTTAATTCCACAAGGATCTGATTGCAGTAATTTCCACTAGGATTCAGAGACATCATGTTCACTTGTTTAATTTCATTTGGACTGTTGTGTTAAGAGTCATCACGTCCGTAACAAATGTTTGAATTTGCATTACTCTTACTGGGAATGGAGGTTTTTATACCTTTAGCACTCAGAGCTGGAAAGAACAGAGTGTGCTCAGTCTGGAGCTGGCTCTGGAGTGGTGCAGCAGCAGCCTTCCACAGTCGAGAGGATGATGATGGAGATGGGGCCAGGCTCAGCAGGGCTGTGTGGCAGGAGGGCGAGAGATGATGGCATTAACTGAGACCAAATAGTTCCCATGGGAAAGAAGGAAAACAGTCTCCACAAGCACAGCTGGGAAGTGGGTTAGCAGGAGAGACTCTGCAGTTTCCATCCTTGGGAGCTCTCCAGACCCAGCTGGATCAGGCCTTGAGAACCTGGTCTGAGCTCAGAGCCTACCCTGCTTTAGGCAGGAGGTTAAAATAAAGACATCATCAGCTTCCTTCTAGCCTGGATTTTCCTGTGGTCCTGAGAAAAAGCTTATAAATGATTTTTTTTTAAATCCAGTCTTAGTTTTTTTGACACACCCAGTGGTGTGGACCAGCACATATTTGTGCAGAGCCCTGAACGCTTGGCTTTTAACAGCACAAAGAAGTCTGTGTAAAGGTGGTGTCTGAAGGCACCACTGTAGGCAGTTTGCTTAAGAATTAGGTATATTCTTAACATGTCAGTATAGCAATATTATTTTCTTTGTTACCTTGAGGAAGTCCGTGTGCTTAACAGAAGAGAAACTGTAAAGCACTGAATAAAAGGAGATATTTTTGATTTTCAGGAATGTGGACTTGAAATTGCTGCATCTGAAATACGGTCTATAAGTTTACCACATGAGATTGCATATTCTACTCTTACAAAATGATACAATTGCTTATCACACAATTAATTAAAAATTATAGGTAGTCCACCTAAAATCAGCAGTAACAACACAGTTTCTTTTGATGTTGTTTCTCAACCTCCATTAAAATAAAGGAAATTCTTAACCAAACAAATATGGAAAATAAACTTCAAGTGTTAGTATTTACTATGAAGTTATTGTCAACATAGCTGGCAGGTCAGTTGCTGTGTAAATTTCTTCCCAGATGCAAGATACAGCTTTTACTTCTCTGGTTTTAAAGTTTGAAGAAACTGGTGGAGAGGCTAAGTTTTTGATCCTGGATGAAGAGACGCTCAAGGATTTTTTAATAGGCTCCATAGTTCATAGTTTGTTTGTTATAAACTGTCTTTATACCTTTATACTTCAGAGTACCATAATTATTTTTTAAGACCAGAACATGAAGATTTATTATTCAGTTATGAACATCACAGCCCTGAATTCTGTCCTGTGGAAATGCCTGCTTAAAATTTGGCAAACACCTTCCTAACTGGTAGAAAGTATTGCCTGAAATATAGAGGGTAAAGCTAGAAAAAAGGAATAAGCATGAAGAAGTAGTCTTAGCACAGAGTGTTACTATATGTGGTGGCTACACAGGCACAGGTTTGCTACAGCTGCATGCAGAAAAAAACAATAATTCTATTCACATGCTCATGTATTTGAGACATTTATTCATCTTGAGTATGTCATCTGTATTTTTAATATTACCCTTTATTTTCAAAAGTTTTTCAGAGGCCATTTTTGGTATTTACACATCGATTCTCTTCTTGACACCTGAAGATAGAAGTTCAGTAACAGCATTCCTTTCTGATGGTT